TGGGCAGAGCCAGCTTTTATGCTGCTAACTTGGAGGCAGGACACTGATGTTAATGCCAAAGGCAGGAGCACCTGGTGGTGATCTCCTAATCAGCTCCCACCCAAGGCTGGCCAGACCCTGGCTGAAAACCAGTCAGGAGGGTCTTTCTTGCCTGGCTGTGGACATCATCCATATGCCAACCCTCATTCAGGGCTGGGGGTTTAAACCCCAGCACTTCACATGGCTGCCATCCTGTGTTTCTTTGGTTTAGGTCACTCATTCCCCATCAGATAGTAAGATCATGTATCAATGCACGGTTGCCTGTTTCAACACGTTCTGTTTTTGGTATGCGGGTGCTCAAATGGTAGGGGTTGGTGGGTGTGATGTGGTGTTGGGGTTCAAGGTCTTTCCCAGCTTGGTGTGCAAACGTAGCCTATGCCAGCTGTGGAGGTGGTGCCCCAGGGGCACCTGAATTTTCCACTTCTCCTGCTTGTGTGAGATTATTCCTGCAGGTGAGCGCAGCGGCTGTGGCCCAGTCCTTGGCATTCTCCCAAAGAACGCTGTCCTCTCTCACAAGCTGACATTGTCACTCATGGGGAAGCTGTCAGCTGGATGATTTTCTTCATTCACTGACTCTTAGTTATTCTGCTTCTCTTTTGGACACGTCCCTTAGTTTCCCTAGATAAATTTCTGATTTTCTGACAGAAAAAGCTGTACAAATACCAAATAATGATCTCAGAAGTGAGCAGTAGCCTCTCTGACACAGCAATTCACCTCTTAATAGCGCCCTTGGCCCACTTGGTGTTAGCAGGGTCCCCAGCAGTACAAACTACTCTTCCAAGTGGGTGGCATTATTAAAAGAACAATACTCTGGTCTCTTCCAGAGGCAGCAGTGGGGTTTTTAAGTTTGCTGTATGCTATGAAGGAATGCACTGCGGTTTAATTGCTGGCCGGATCAGGCCCATGACATGCTCTAGTGGGGTCTGTCACCTTTCCTTTTGAGGAGTCAGGAAAGAGCACCAAGGGCAGGAGCCTCTCTGCTGCCAAACTCAGATTCAAACCCACGTGAGGGTAAGGATCACTGTGAGCTAATAGTTCATGACAACTACTTTGGTGCCTTTAGCATTTTAGGACTTCTCTTATTCAGGGATTTATTTGAGCGTGTCAGTTGCCACTGACTAGTTGGATATTTGTCATGACTGCCAGTTTTGTCTCTGGGTTTGAAATGATGTGTCCAGCTGTGACTGTTTTTTTCCCCAAGAAACGCTAGTGCACATTTTGAATAGTTTTAACATTGGCTGATTTTTCACTGAATAGCATCTCAACATAAAAGTATCTATTCCTATCAAATGTCTTACTAGCTAAAATATGTGTAACTCTAGTTCTGTAGTAACTTCATTCTCATTAACATGGCAGCATTTTTATAAAGGAACTAGCAGAACTCAGTTCTACCATGTCAGCAATTTTATTTTTTGTGGCAAGGAAACGGCTGGCTCAAAAAGGAATAATTTTTTTTTTTATTAAAGGGTCCATATGGATGTAAAACGTATTGGTGCCACTTGGTATAAATTGTAATCAGTTCCAGACTCTGCTGCACTCAGAGACTTGAATTGTGGAATTATATGTGCTGGTTTCTGCATTTTGAGGGCTCTCACCTAAACCGCAGCTCTTGTAACAAGTAAATGGCTACATCCATGGTGTCCAATCCCTTGTCTTAATGATGTTAAGAAAATGTTTAACTATGACTCAAAACTGTATTCCTAAGCCCTGCAGCTTTTCAGGTGAAATGACAGAACCAGCCTTGCTACACTGAGGCAAAGTAGGTGGGCTCCTGAAGCTGAGTTCAGATGGGCTGAATTTCGCTTAATTCCTTCAATTGTGGTTCCTTTGTTAAAGCATTTCTGAAGGCCTGGAGCCAGGCAACATGGAACTCTAAGCACTGCGATGTAAGCAGAGTTTTTAGGCTGCTTGGTCTGCTTTTGGCTCCCTGTGTATGTTTTAAAGCACATGATAGGTAAGAAGAGGCAAAAGGGAAAGGCAGAAGCCTGCACAAAGTGTGCTGTTTGCTTACATAGTGTCTGTCCTAGAAGAGTGCAGCTGTGATGAGAACACAGCTATAGAATCAGAAGAACATTTTCAAGCTTCATTCATGGCTTGGGTTAACCGCTGCCCTCTTGAATCAGGAAGGGGAAATAGAAGGTGGTTGGATGCACCAACACCTCTTTTGTGGATCACTGGGATCAGAAATCAATAGACCAAGAGGCCACCTAGGCTGTTTGGATGGTTTTCTGTGGAGCCACAGACAGTGTTTGCTGTCTCTCTGGACCTACTGGTAGCTTTTAACCCTGTGACCAATTTCAATCACGTGTGTAAGGCAAATGAGATGAAAAGGCCAGTACAGTCTGAGGTCTGTGAAGTCTGATGAACAGCTAGAGACTAGTGACCCAACTAATCCTCCTTGCTGAGCATATGGACAACATTTGGTTTGGCAGCAGTTGTGTTAATGCATCTGCATTCATCACCCTGTCCTGGCACCCACATCTGCACGGGTGCTGCCTGTGCTTGTTGAGTAGCAGAGATGAAAAGAATTTGAGTTAGTCTGCTGAGAAAAGAGTTACAAGGGAAGGTTATAGGAATTCAGGCTTCATTTTAGTTTTACTGTGTTCTAAACTTGTTTTAAAAAGATGTAACAAATCAGCAAAGAGCCAATCCTGTGGCTCAGAATTACAAGTTCATTACAATGTTTGTCCCCAAACAAAGACTTCCAAGAGTACTTCAGTTTGAGTGCTACTTCCTCAGCTGTCTTACCAGTGTATTCCCAGGCAAAGCATGAGACTTGTACTGCCATTTTAAATCTCTAGCTGGGGAAGGATTGGAGTACTGGGAGGTCAAAAATATGAGGTTGTGGTGCTGATTGCAATGGCAGCTTTGGGGTCTACACTCTCTTTCAGAAGGGAACGCAGCCAGTTTCTGAAGCAGCAGGAGGGTGTCTGGAGGCGGGAGCAGGGGGAGCAATGTTTATGAATTTTCATGACAGATGAAAGCAGAATATAGCTCATCTTGAATACAGTGAAAGGTTGTAACTGTAACTTGGTTTTTATTAAGACTGCAGGATTAACCTTAAGCAGGACAGCTAAGAGCTCTTCAGTTACAGAATTCCCTACTAAGAGCACACCTTCCTTCCCTCTTCCTTAACCACAGCAGGTAAGCAAGAATTAATTAATGTTTTTTTCTGATTACAGACCACCTCTAGTGTTTGTAGTCTACCTCTTCCAACTGAGAAGAACAACTGGCACTCCAATCCTCTCCTGCTTAACTCTAAGAAAAGTCAAGGGAGTTGGCCACCTTGCAGAGCCTCTTCCTTAAAGATTTGCCCCCCTAGTTCTATTCAGAACTTTTTCTTGCATTTTAACATACAATCAGATCTTAAACGTACAGTCTCTTCACCAGTCCTAGTGTCAAACTCCAGCAGTCAGAGAAGAGGGTCTCTGGGAAAGGACAGATACTTCTGCATGTTACCAGGCACATGGGCCTTAGTGAAATCTACTGAGTGAGCAGTACTGAAAGGAATACAGCTGTCCTGATTTGACTAGAACAGAACAGATTCTCTTCAGTGATTTTACTTTTCAGCTCAGTCTCTTCAAAGTCACTCCATTTTCTGAAGTTAACAGCATGTTTTTGCAGATTGTGTCTGCTTCTTGAAGTATGTTTATAGTTTCCAGTAAGGATTGCTATGCAGAAAGGCTCCCGCTTGTATTTACTCCTTTGGAAACCAAGGACACTGCTAAAACCTGTGTATCATGTTGAGGTTGCACCTGCAGGGAAAAATGGATAGGATAGGTGACCCTAAACTGACCAGCAAGGTAGGCCATTCCATATATGTCATATTCAGCATAAAGCCAGGAGATCACAAGGGTTAGACTCTCTTCTTCAATGGCCGGCATCTGAGGAGGACTCTGTCCATTCTGCCTTGGTTCCCAATCCCAACCCATGCATTCCTGAATTCAGTTCCAGAATCCAGCTCCTGAATCCGTTCCCCTCTGAGGTTAAGTCCAGTCTGGGACTTTGTGAACGCCTGCACACAGCACCAGTGGTGACAATGGCATAATTACTATCAGGAAGGCTGGATTCAATATTGGTTTTGTATATATTTGTATATATCCTATTGCTTCATTAAAGCTGTTTCACTTTTCCAATCCATAAGTCTCTCTCCTTTATTCCCTTTTCCTTACTCTTCTTGAAAGGGAGAGGGATTAATAGAGAGTCTGTCATTTGTCTAATGAACAGTCCACCCCTAACCATTGACAACTTATTTTTGGTTCAGTGGCTGACCTAAATATTGGAATCCGATTCAGAAACAAGTATTTATTTTTTTGACAAAACAGGAAATAAAAATCTAATTTTTGAAAACTGGACACAATTTGACTCAGTCTTTAAAGTCCCGTATTGTCCTTTTCATTTAATGCAGGGCTCATCTAAAATACACAGCAATAATATTTCGTTTGGAAAATATCAAAAGGACCTGTTTTGGGATTTCCAAAGCAAACTCTTTCACTCTGGAGAAGGTCAAAATGAAACATCTGTCAGTCTCCTAATCTCTTTCTCTCCTTCCACTAAAAAATAGAGTTGATGGGAAGGTACAGTTCATCAGGAAAAGGAAATTCTTCATCTTCTTCTCAGTATTTTCTAAAAACTAGGCCATCATACTCAAGAGCCTTATTTGCAGATACAGCGGGAAGCGTGCCTAAACCAGGAAAGAAGAAAAATTCCATGGGAATCAGCTTCCAAGTTCAACAGTTTCTGTAGGTCTGTGTTTGAAATCTTTGCTCTGGAAGCCTAACTTGAGGCATTAACTAATTCAGATTCTGGTCTTATTAAAACAGCATGAGAAGGAAAAATCAGCCAAGTAACTCCTTATAACTATTGTAATGTAAGTTAATTCTACTACTAAATACACCTGAGGGGTGGATTCTTTTAACATAAACACTATTAAAAGAAAAAAGTGCCTACAATTAGTAAACAGCTTTTTTTTCTAAAAAAAAGGTGATTTTATTGAGTTTTAACATACAGCTTTAATATGTTAGGGTAATCATACAAGATCTCTCTTGTATTCAATTTACACATTACAATACAGACGTGAGCTAAAATCTTTTGTTTTAATGTACAAAAGGAATCCAATGTTGTCCACTAGCAGCTTTGAACTTGGCAAGAAAGATTCTAAAGACTTTTAAGTGCAGTAACAACCATACAGAATACAAAATGAATATAAGGACTTTTCTCCAAGGTATATAAACATTTGAAAACAAATGGTGCCTGCTCCACAGGGCAGACAACTAGCAAATTAAAAAAAAAAGTCACTGACCAATGTTCCAGAGAAGGAGGAGCATTACCCTGTGTAACAGTTCTTACAAAATGGCCTAGAATACCTGTATCATAGAATTTGTACTGATCAGAAAAAAGGTCTGAAAAGAAACAGTCGGCAAGGAACCGAACAATCAAAAAATGACATAGTAATATAAAATATTTCCATCACTATTTAAATGCCAAATTAATCAAGCAATAGTAAAAAAAAAAAAAACAAAACCAAACCAAAAAACCAAAGCTCTTCTGTTTAAAATAACAGCACTGTTTTTGCTTATTTTCTAAGAATTTTTTTTCTTATGAACACACTATATACTTGATTGATTCTTTCATACAGAGTAATGTGTCCATTTGGTCTGTCACTTCAGTGAAGCTGATATACAATCAGCCCATTGTGTCTCACCTTTGACACATTTTAATGCTTTTCTCTTCTCCCCTTACGTTCGCTACTCCGGTGCCTTCTCTTCTCAAGTTAAATACTTTTCTTCCTCTTCTTTATACAGTGCAGAGTGTATGGGCTTAGGAGATGGAGATTTTCCTCTACTCCAGTTCACTGTCTAGCTCTGAGTTCAGTGGTGTGCAGTAGTTTGGCTTGTCTGAAGGGACGTACCCTGGGAGACACAAACACTTGTACGATCCCTCTGTGTTAATGCACTTGGCGTTCTTGCAGAGAGACATCCTGTTGTTCAGCTCGTTGCACTCATTCACATCTGCAAAAAGGGCACATCAGAAGACATCTACTTAAGTCTGGTGTGTAGGTAAAACTATTTTTCCAGCACTGTCAGGAGTAGAACGTGAATATACTCAGAACTTTATTTTCAGCTCAGATCAGGTGGAATTAGGCTGGGTCAAAAGCTGTAACAGATGAGTTGGGAAGAGGAGGAAGTTATCAATAGCATGTTAAGTGGCCTTAAACTGTTAGATGACCAAATCCAAATTCAACACAAGCTGCAGAACAAAAATTTAGTAACCACTTACAGGTTTTAATCTGGTGACTGAGAAGTGGCTTATAAGAAAGAAGCTCTGAATTCTCAGTATAATACCTGTATTTAAAAAAAAAATCATATACTTTAGGACCAGCTAGTGCTGTCAGCTAAACAGTTGTGAACAGCAAACTACCTGCGCTCAGGATTGTGCAGCATTGGCCTGGAATACACAGGAGCTACACCTTTCCTCACTAAGGAGACCAGCTTGCCATGAAGTCCTGAAGATTACAAGGCAAGCAGGCAGCTTATCATGACACAGCTGGGAGACCTCAGCTGTGGATTATGAAGTGTAATGCTAAGCCAAGTTAGTACAGGCCTGAAACTGAAATACCCACACATGGTCTCTACCAGGCTTCTATGCTAAGTGGTGGTGTTTTGCTTCATTTTCTCACTGACACTTGCTGTTCCCATGTTTTGTTGTGTTAACTGAGGACATGGTAATTAGATGTCCTGGTTAGCAGTTGTGCAAATTTACTAGTTTGAGAATGAGAGCAATATTTGAGTCTGTTGACTGTTGAAAACAGTTGAAAGTAAAGGGACAAACCCAACCAAGTGGTTATTTGCATATTTAGGTGAGTCAACTGCTCTAAAAATCTGCTCCTAAAATTACTCTTCTGCTCTGGATCCAGTTCTACCCTATTAGCTCACTAAAGCCTTTGAAAAACATTTGTTCCGTAACTTAGTGTTAAATTATTGGTATAAGTTTAAGCTTCATTACACAAATGTGTGTCTGCTCATTCCTAGGCTCTTAATGGAACACAGCTGTAAGGACCAAGATGAAGTGAGAACACCAACATATTGTTATTTCTGTAACAATATTTACTGGCCTTTGCAGTAAATCAAGCAAAACTGGCATCTTTAATACAATTCAGTTGATCATCTCTAACCCCTTTGTTCCAATCCCTCCCTAGGCCAAGTGGCTGAGTAAACTGATAGACTAACAGAAGGAAGATGAAATAAGACACTGTCCTCACCAACACAAGTCATTTTGGCCATGTCCAGGTGATAACCATCAAAGCAGTCACAGGTGTAGCCTTCCTGGACTCTTACGCATCGGCCATTTTCACATCCATTCAGAATACCACACTCCTCTGCTTGTAACTCCTCAAAGCTGTTCAGAAAACCTGGGTGGAGAAAGGAATTGCAAACAAGTAAGTTACAGAGCTGTTGAATAAGTATACCCAAATGTATAGTGAGAAGCTGAAATTCTCTCTGAAGTTTACTGGAATGTGACTTGACTTTGGAGAAAATAGGTCAGCTTTAGCAGATCAGCACCATCTGGAGCTTTAAAAGCACTAGAAATGTGCTGTGGTATGTTTCAAGATGAAAACTGAATAACTTTCTGAACTCTTAAGTTTTTAATTTGGGTTAAAGATTTGTGTGTTTTTTTTTTTTTTTCTTTCTTTGTAAAGCGAACTGCGTAAGTTGACAGTATATGTTTTGAAGGATAAATAAATGTTATTTTGATAGATGTTTTCTAAACAGCTTTTATTTGAATTATTATGTGTATCAACTTTTATTAAAAAAAAAAAAAAAAAAGACGTGGTAGTGCAATTTGGGGTAAAAGTTCCTTAAAACAGTATTCTAGAAAAATAATGTGTGTGTAGTGGGGAAGAGATGCATTCTAATTTATCTATAAGAAAAAAAATATTTAAAAAAGAAAATCAATCTCAACTGCCTTAAGCAAAGCAAGAAGAAACCCGAGACTGCTTTCCTGTTGTGGTTTTGGTTAACAAGCCTTTGGCTGGTACTTCAGCGACCAGTGCCAGTACAAATACCTATAATCTACCAATTGCTCCTTGTCATAATTCTAGATGGTGAGTAGTCACAGCTAAAGAGTTGTCTTTGTATTCAGTGGTTTGTACAATGCCTTTTGTGTTCCCTGTCTGAGGGCTTTTTTGACAGTTATGCTTTTATGTATAAGGATGGATTTATATTTAAAAAAATATTTGACGTTTTTACATGTTCAGAGAGTCTCTTCAGGATTCAGTTGCTCCTGTTAGTCCTGCACAAGTTTTTTTACTATCTTTCTATTTGTGGAGCACTGATGTAACAGGACTGCAGATGGCAGCCCATCACATCAAAATGACTTTAAAGGAAAAAGCTGAGAACATTTTTTAGAGTCTTAGGTTTACCATCATAATGAATATATAGCATACAAATGGAGGGGAAATTGGAGCTGGAGTGGAATAGAGTAGGATACATCTCCCCATCTGCTCCATAACACAGAAATAATATAGTGATTCCACAAACCAAACACCGGTTTATCTAAAACCCTTTTACTGATTTATATTGTTGCAGCAGCTGTCATATGTAGATTTGCAAGTTTACCTAGGAGAATGAATGTCTCCCTTGCCTTGCGCTTGTTCTCCCACTTTTTTTTTTTAAAAAAAGTGGGAGAACATCCTGCCTCAGTTCTTGAGGCCCACTTTTCTCTTGCCCTGCCTCACCTGTCCTACTCTGCCCTTTCTGTATCATCCTCCGTTAGACTTCTGTACTGTCATTTCCACTCCTCCTCTCCCTGACCACACCCATTCTTCCTATCCCAGCTTTTCTCTAGCATGGTGGGATTCTTAGTAAGGATCATGCTGGTCAGTCATACACTGAATAAATGCTGGTGATGCTGAACACATCATTTGACATAAGTACTTGCTGTAGTATTTGTACATATGGCACATCTCAAGAACATACATCATACATAGGATGTATACAAGTGTACATTAAATAGGAAACATAATTTTTTCCATGAAAAAACACACTCAGTGATCACACCACAGCGCTGAGGGTTTTGAGTGGACTGTCATGATGCATGGCAGCAACACTGTGAGAAACTCAACCAAGTTTCACTACGTTCTCAAGCTCCCTAATAGAGCTTAAAGAAGGCTCACAGTGGTCCATTAAAGTGAAGATCTTTGCTGATTTAGAAAACAGTGCCAAAAAAAGGACAGGTGTCCCTTCCAAATACACTGGTATTTTTTTAAACAAAGAAAAGGTATAATTTATTTAACACATGGTATATATGTACATATCTATGCATATACATAGACATTATGTACACACATATATACACATTTTTTTCTATCCCTGTATCTCTCAAATACAGTATGCTGCAATTTTAACTCACTAAACTCACAATATTTATCACACACAACAAGTTCTACTTCACCAAATATTCTACTTCAAAACAGCTGGATGGGACCTGGGTTGTAATTCTAATATAAGTATTTGGTTCTGTAGAAGTCGATTACACACAAGGTGACAAATACTATGTTGAAGTACACAGCCCTGCCATGGACTGGAAGTATTGTCATATTCCTCATCCAGGCTGTAGCAGGAGTGTTACCTTGAAGTCTGTGGTGTCCTAAACATGCAGCAACTGCATATGTCAGAGAACATGCCTCTGATCAGGACGGAGTCATACAGCTCTGTGTTTTTGTCCATGGGACAGCAGTGTGCCCTTGTGGCCAAGAAGGCCCGTGGGATCCTGGGGTGCATTAAGAAAAGTGTATGCAGCAGAACAAGGGAGGTCCTACTCCCCCTCTACTCTGCCCTGGTGAGACCTCACCTGGAGTATTGTGTCCAGGTCGGGGCTCCCAATTTCAAGAGGGACAGATCTACTCAAGAGAGTCCAGCAAAGGGCTACAAAGATGATTGGGGGAGTGGAACACCTGCCATATGAGGAGAGGCTGAGAGACCTGGGGCTTTTTAGTCTGGAGAAGAGAAGACTTAGGGGGGATCTAATTAATGTGTATAAATATATGCGGGCTGGGTGTCAGGAAGGAAGGGGCAACCTCTTCTCACTTATGCCCTGTGATAGGACATGGGGTAATGGTCACAAGCTGGAGCACAAGAAGTTCCACCTCAACATGAGGAAGAACTTCTTTACTATAAGGGTTCCAGAGCACTGGAACAGGCTCCCCAGGGAGGTTGTGGAGTCTCCTACTTTGGAGACTTTTAAGACCCATCTGTGTGACCTGCCCTAGACGAGATGGTCCTGCTCTGGCAGGGGGTTGGACTCGATGATCTCTGGAGGTCCCTTCCAACCCCTGACATTCTGTGATTCTGTGATTTGGCTTGCTACTGTGTCTGATTTAGTGACAGGATGGAAGCAAGAGACATGAGCTCTAAAGCCTCTGTCCTTAAGACAGTCGACTTGGCTGTAGATTCATAACTGCTGACAATGTTATCTGATTTATTTATTCACCACTGCTTATAACTTTTGCGGTGTTGCTTTCTCAACTTGGTATTTTATCTATCACATTGGTTACCCAGTCGTCTTTCTGGGTTTTTCTTTGAGTTTGGTAGCTATCAGCTGTGTGATATTTCAATTTGACATCAACACTCAGTACTATTTAATCGAAATAATCTGGATATAAAGAAATAAGACACTTAACAATTCTCTGTAGAACTATAGTGTCATTTAGATGCCGAACAGAGATGAACTCATTCACCTGACTTGTGTAGTTCTGTACAAATGAAATGCAATGTGAGCAAGAAATGCATGTCACTCTTCTAACAGTGTGCTGTAATCCTCCTGCCCTGTTGTGACCTATTACCGTTACTTTAAAAATAATTCCTTGTACAGGAAAAGCACTTTGGGAAAGTACAGTGGGAACTTGTAGGCCAGATGTATAAAGCCCAGGAAGTTACCAGCTCCTTCTGATACCTCCATTTTTCTTCTTTAAAACTGAGATGAAACATGCTGGACTTGTACAGAGTGGCTGATTTTGAGGAAGATGCTGAGATCTGTAAGCATTCTTCTCCCACAAGTTTTAACAGTGAGCTGAGCCAGACCTGTAACGAACACTGGTATTCCTCAAGTACACCTGAGATTCTGTAGACAATCCCTCACACCCTGCTTGGGAGGCCACTCCCTTGAGCCTGAAGGCTACATGCATGCATTCTCTGATCATACTGTGCTGTACATTTTCTCTGTTGAGCAAGAACTACTTGCATGCTCATATAAATACTGCTGGAAAATTGTGGAAAGCTGGCATGAAGGGCTTTTTTTTCTTTTAAACTAAAAGCACTCTAAAGAAATCTGTCCCATGCTCTAAAGGAAAATCAATTTGTGAGAAGCAACACTGGCAATCCTTTTGACCTTTAGCTGTAAATCTGTTGGTAAATACAAATTCAGTACACTTGGCACAAACTATTTCACTATATTAAAACTTAATATTGTACTCTGAACCCAACTAGACTCTTACACAACACTGGCTCTTGACCCAGAACACCTGACTGAAAGCTAGTGTCATAGGAATAAATAAGACATAAACAGGCCACATTAGTCAGAAGCAAACAGAAGAATGAAGCCAGCTACAGGGAAATAATCCAAGTTACAACCTTCGCTTCAGTTCTTTTACATAACAGAGAAATTTGCTTACGGTCTTCAATGAAATATGGATTAGTTTCTGGAGTGTAGTGCTCCTCGAAGTCAACCAAAGCATCTTGTCCATATGGCCGTCGAGATCCTGGAACAGGAATGTTGCACAGCTGGGCATAATCCTCTGAGAAGGGAAAGAAAATAGGATGTAAAACTAATCACACTTGTAAGACAGGCTGCGTTACATTAGTCCCAGTGAGCTGTGGCTTGTATTAACTGGAAATAAACTTATCTTCCTAGAAACACCATAAATCTATAATTTCCAGAAAGCATTCACTCTTCAAGAACAGCGTCATTAAAATGTTAATGAGCCAAATACAGACTATTAAGTCATAATAGGGATAACACCAGGGATAGATTTGAATCAACAACAGTACAAAAAGTTTGGGTCAGGTTCTTCTGGCCTGCACAGGAAGCAAGAGCACAGGGATGCTGCACACCCCACTGCCAATGCACCCCCTCCTCCAGGGCTATCTCTGGTTACATGCCTCATTCTGGTGGAACAAAGGTTATCCTAGACCACTGTCTCTGCTAGCAGAAGCCACCCTATGCAAAGCAAAGTGGAGCAGGTGGGGCCATATTTCTGACACTGTCAGCCAACCTGCAGAAACCACAGAATGAAAACTTCTAAAATAGCCCACTCATCTGCAAACTGTATCTTCAAATGACAGGCTTAAGTATGAATGCTGTTCAAAGTCTCCTTTGCTGTGAATGTCAAAGAGCAAGGGGAAATGCTCAGGAGAAATCGTTATACTCTGATTTTCTACCTCCTCAATAGCTAGACTGCACTATTTTAGGTGTTAGAGTCCATGTCTGAAATGCTGATACAGAGTTTGACTTTTTAATTTGATTTACTGTGTCACTTCTGCTACCATTACCATTAACTAAAATATATACAGGACGACTTATTTGAAACGAGAAATACTGTTAAAACACAGCAAGAGCAACCCAGGTGCTCCTTTACTGTTGCCACAGACTATTTAGCATCCGTTTCTGTGAAGATTGCCTGGGGTTCTGAGAATCAGGCAGAGTAAGAACGGGAATGAAAACCACCAAAAGAGAGAGGGGAAAAAAAGCCCTAAGCGGATACAAAATCCAAGAACTGCTGATGGCTAGAGAGCCAGAAACCTCATGCTGTGTAGAACTGTCCCAGACAGCAAATAGTTGGATAAATCCAGACTGCCTCCAGACAGTGCCGCACACAACTCCACTTGCTGCCCAGCATTGTAATTTTATTTTCACAGGTAGTAGTATCTCCTCCACCTGGAATGGTTTTATTTTGTACTGAAAACAACAAAGTGTTCAAAAAGTCTGTTTGAATTCTGTGGTCAACAACTTGGCTTTTTGAGAGTGTAAGACTGTACAGTACAGGCAAAGCTTCTCTGTGTGCAGCCACAGCTGCCTTGGGTGCCTGTCTGAGTCTGCAGAATGAACTCCCCAGAGAACACTGTAAATCCCACCACCTTCTACTTCAAGTGCAAAGTGATTTCCTCCAATGTGCGTCCTCCAGAATATGTTTATATACAGTAATAATTACATTCAGACAATCCTCTCCTCTCCCAGATGAAAAACTACACCACCCAAAAGAGACATCCCGTGGCCCGTGAAACAGTCATCAACAAAGCCAGCAAGAGAAAATAAACAGCATAGAGCAAATGTTTTTTACATCCCTTAATGTACAGCTTCCCACTGAGATACTAGGATAATGAGCTTAGTTTTAAGAGCTGTCACAGGACCAGAAACACCCTATTCTTCCTTCCCCACATCTAACCACAGATAACATGCATGTATGGAGACAGCCACATTACCATCTCAGACTCGTCATTGTTTTGTGCTGAGCTGCTCATCATGCCCAAGGGCTTTGATATGTACACAAGGAAAAGCTGTGCATAAGTGTAAAAACACTTTCTCACAGATGCACACAAAAGTTCCTGGCAAAGGAAATCTATGTGCTGCCACAAAGTACTAATTCATCTGGCCTGTGTGGAAGAAACCACCACACAAAACCAGTCAGTGACTGGCAAGGGGACAAGGCAAGCAAGTCTGAGGGATCACTACTCTTTCCACATGAATGCGATCTGATGGGAAGGATCGAACAGAACCTTGACATTGGCTTCTCAGATTACTCAGTGCTAATTTTGCACTTAGTGATACTGATAGTAGAAAGAATGTTTTTCTTCTGAAGGAAGCAGCTGGAACATTTGAAAGCCCATAAAGCTGGGGACCTCTCATGTCCGTAAGAGTTGGGTAGTTTGAAGATTGTGCAAGACTATTTTATATTGCACGTTTGCCAACGCAAAGTTGTTTATTATCTAAAGACGAATAAAGAAATGTTGACAATAGAAACTTGTTTCCTGCCACACTGGTCCTTCGCCAGTCATGTTTTGGCTGTCTGCATTTTTAGGTCTCATTATAAGTAAATTGTGGCTACAAAATGAGGAAGAGCTGGTTCAGAGCATACTGTAAACTTAGTATTTGTTACAAGGAGAAGTAACTATATTAAGGTCTTCTACAAGGCTATACATACGACTCGAATAATCTATTAACCTCTTGAAGTCTGTTATGCTTAATTAACCATTTGTTAATACAATCTAATATTTTAATAATTTGTATGCAGAGCTTTAATACAAAAGCTTGCAAAGGATTTAGTCTTAAGCAACTTTAGAAGGTGTCCAGTTACTCTCCTTCCATATAATTTATATCAATGTTTTGATACATACTGTGATGATTTGGAATTACCTATAACGTTCTCTTATTACTCTGTGTTCTATTTAGTTGCCCAAGTAGTGTAGACTTTATCTCTTGTCTTTTCTAATGTGTTGATTTAGTTACTAGGTGCTCAGGAGATAAATTGAAGGAGAGCAACACCTCTCACCTAAGAAACCAAGAGGAGAAATTCAGGACCAACAACAATGGCAAGCTATCTATGCCACCTTGCTGAGTTTGTAATTTTTTTTTTTTCTCCTTTTCCCCCAGGGAAGAAAAGGGCAGGTAGAGAGGAGAATACAAAGACTTAAAGGTATTTGGGGGGCCACATTCTGGAAAGATCATGAGAACAGGCGTTTTGAAATAAGGTAGATTAGACACTTGGATACCTGAGAAAAATGAACCCATCAGAGCTGCCCACTGGAGGCTAGAACAAGTCAAGGCAAGACAGACGTGTATGTACAATTTCTGTTGTTTTAAACTTTTCCCCCTGCCACACTATGTTCCTACAGTTCAAATTAAAAGTAGTGTATTTTGAGTCACTGTGCTGTATGCTGGTCACAGTTTTCCAGGGAAGGGAACTAAACGAACAAAGTGTTTTAAGATTTGTGGGTAACAGAATGACTGGCACACAGAACATTATGGCAAGTATGCAAAAGAGAGAATGGCATGAAATTGCCGTAGGGAGGTAGCAGCAGGAGACTCAGATCAAGAAGGTGGTAAGAGGGTAGAAATCAGGGGAAAATGTTTCACTGCTCTTGAATGACAAAAACATTTTGTCACAGAAATTGATGGTCAGTTTCAAAATAATCTTTCATGTAAAGTAAAAAACTACCACCTCACTTTCTGTAATTCACAATCAACAACAGAACTTTCTTCTACATGGATTTATTTTATCTGCTCACTCATCTCCTGGTTGTGATCAGGGACAATACAATTGCAGTTCAAGAGGAAAAAAAGACTTGTGTTTTTAATATAATTTAGTCTACATAACTCCATGCATTTCTAAGTTTTTCTCACAACTTTTAAATGAAGCATTGCGACAGCCTGCTGTATAACTGAGGATAGCTATTATAAAAGGAAGCTGATGTATGCTTCCAAAAATGTAAAGGCCATATTTAATGTCAGATGTGTGCACATAAAACAAGCTCGTTAGGGGATTCCAGCTAGATGCACATGCGTACTGGCACAGATGTTGGCTGTAATTGGTGATGAAAGCTAGGCTGACAGAGACAACGCAACAAACTGGGTGGACTGACTGGCTTCTAGGTGCTTTGTTAGCACAAATGCAGCTGTGCAAATGTGCATCTCATTTGCTATACAGTTGCTGTCAATGCACAAGCCTGTGTGGGATTTATTTCTACCTGCAAGCTCAAAAATCCTGAATTCTCTGGTCAGAAAAATTGTTCCATATTTCATGTACTGAAAGCAAAATATTAAAAATTTTAAAACTTTTCCTGACACAACTGTGAAAGAACTGTATCACAGCCAGTCCTAGCTCCTGCCCATAAAGCAAGCTTTATTCCTGTTTCAGCTCCTGAGAATTGTCACCATGACACACACACAAAAAGGAGCCAAAGCTATCAGCAGCAAGGCAGGTCCTTCAAATTATTTAAGAATGCAAGTTTCACCACAGAAGAAATCACTGGAGAGGAGGACAAAGCCGAGAATGCATTTATTACATCTAATATATGTCCCTTCCCAACCAGAGGTTCTGAATATCAGTCTGAATTAAGTTTATGCCCTCTCAGGAGATTGCATCATCTGGGAGCCAAAGCTGAAGATATTTCTGCTCTACATTTAGGTTGTGCTATTTGACAACTTAAATAATCTGACCGACATTTTCTATGAACAGATGCTGAGGTTTGTGGTGGACAGCATTCACATATATTCTACAAGTCTTGGTGCTAAAGAAAAAGGGAAGTGTACCAGTCTTGAAGAATTTTTTTCATGAGGTAAGAAGGATATTCATATCCTCACACAAAGATACTTAAAATTGCTGAGGAAAAGCACACAGTGGATGTTAAAGCTCTTATTAAAATTGAAATAATTAGCAATCCGATTATTTAAAAGCCTCTTGGTAGTCACTTTTTGTTCCTCAACTAATGCTACTCAATTTTTCTAAAACAATGTCTCTCCTACTGCTTGAGGTAGACTGTTAAAAGTTGTAGTAAGAGTCAGGTTGTTTCTGCCATAACTTTGCAAGTGGCTTTCCGATTCCCATGTACACTTGAAATGTGAGGTTCCATGAAGAGAACCCTTCCAGGGCTATTCTGCACGTGTCTCCTAAACTTCAGTAAACACACGGCACATCTTCCACAGAAATGAAAGAAGACAAAAATCTGCACAACTGAGCATAAGACTTTGAATATTCAAGGACAAATCGCTGTTATATTTTGAGCCCCCAAAATAATCAAC